AAATGCAAATGTCATCAAAATCCGGGCCATAATGATCACATATTTTCATCGAAAAACCCTTTATCATGTTGTACCATGCAATTAAAGCTTAAATAAAAAAAATTAAGGAAACATTTCAGATTTTTGTTTTGTTAATAATTTGTCAAAAAAGTTTAAAAAATACTATTTGTCATGTCAAAAATAAAATATAAATAAAACTTGTCAAATTACAACATAAACAAAGATGAAACTGGTAAATAAAACATAAAATAAATAAATAAAGCAATTAACATCATTAAACAAAGCATCTTACTTTTCCTATTTTGTGTCCCGACGGTAATAGACAAACAAAGTCATCAATTAAAACATGATGAATTCTTTCAGTGTTTAACTGAGACTTTAAATTAGCACATGTGTCAGGCATGTAAGGTTCCATCAACGTGCAAAGCAAGCAGCAAATATTTGCACTTAAGCCAAGAACAGTGCCAGCTAAAGCCCTGTGGGAAGAAAAAAATTTAAAATATTTAAATAATTAATAATTAGCTTTGGACTCTAAATTAACATTGGTCTGATGTACTAAAATTTGACTTAGACCACCTTAAAATTATTTTCACCAGTCTCTCAGTCTAGCAATTGCTGTAAAGAGATGATTTATTTTTTCTCTCTTAGTTTTCATGTTTCTGTCACAAAATAGCTTGTTTCATTACAATTGTAAACATTACACATTCACAGTGTTGTCACTTTATTTAAATTTACTTAATTAATTTCTTTAAAAAAAAACCTAATAGACTTGCAAACAAATGAGACAAAATGTGTAAGGACTAGTAATATCTTTTAGTTACTAATCCTTGGTACCTAGGACTAAATATTCTCAATTTCTACCCCTGATGAGTAGTGTGCAGATTTTCTTCCCTAAATTTAAATATAATATATTAAAATAAGTACATTAAAACATGTATACTAAGAGAAATAAAGGTGCAATTTTTATTTAAGTTTGAAATTAGTCTTAAAATAAAAAAAATCATAAACAAAATATGCATTGATATCTAGACATCCTTCTCTTAAAGAAAGTAAATTTAAATACAGTGGAGCATCGTTTATACGACGCCGAAGGGACCACCGAAAAACGTCGTATAAACGATAACGTCGTATAATCGATTTTTACTTCTAAAACTGAAACTAACTCGGTTTTCAATTAATTTTAATGTTTAACGTGTTAATTTACATAAATTTCTAAATTAGACAAAGCAAAACAAACAAATAGCCAAAGGAGAAAAATTGCAGTGAGCCATTTGAATGTATGTTAACTTTAATTATATTTTCTTGCTATTATTCTCTTCAATGCTTTGAATAGCGAGTTGAAGTTACTGCTTTCTATGATGCAAATTTATATTTCTAATCTCGGCCAAATCTAATGGCTGAAGCGCACTTGTGCAATTTGCAGGAAAAAGAGAGCTTTTACATTTTCCAAAATAATTAGTATCGATTGGTGCGCTGGACATTGGTCAATCAATTGAGCAATTTTTCGTTTTTTCCTCTTCATAACATTGTCTAGTTTTTTCAGTCATCTAGTAAAAATTACGGTCGTCATCATTCTTGTTGACACCCTTTTCTGCATCATTCATGTTGGCAAATTCCGCCCTTTTTTAAAATACACAAGAAAAAATAAAAAATTAAATAAGAAACAAAATCTAAAAATCGACGTATAACCGATTCTGTGCGTCGTATAAACGATATATTTTTACATTAAAATGAATAGGAATGTTTTGGGACCACACTAAAACGTCGTATAAATGTAAACGTCGTATAAGTGATCGTCGTATAAACGATGCTCCACTGTACTTCAATTTTGCAAAATTGCAAAAGCAAAAAAAAGAATAGAATTAATAATATTGGATTATAAATACTTTTCTTATACTTCAAAAGTAGAAGATTGTTTCGCTGTGCAAAAGTAATCTTTTATATCTTGAAAACCTTTTTTCAACAGCCAAATATTTACAGTAAACAGAATTAATTGCATTTGATTATAAAAAAAAATTTTATAATTCAAATGTAGAAGATTGTCTCGTTGAGCAAAAGTAAATTTTTATATCTTGAAAACCTTTTTCAACAGCCATATATTTACAGAAAACAGAATTAATTACATTGGATTATAAATACTTTTCTTATACTTCAAATGTAGAAGATTGTCTTATTGTGCAAAAGTAAGTTTTTATATCCTGAGAACCTTTTTTCAACAGCCAAATATTTACAATAAATAGAATTAGTTTCATCAGATCATAAATATTTTTTTTTTATATATTCTGAATCTAGAAGATCGACACTTGTGCAAAAATAAGTTTAAATACATTAAGGACCTGCTTTCAACATATACAGATCATGTTGGTAATACAGGTAGTAAAAAATACATGAAAAAATACTTCAAAACATCAAACAATATATACTGATTTATATTTATTGTGATATAAAGTTTATTAGAACAGAAATCTCAAACACTTGATAATTTTAAGGCAAATTTGTAACAATTCACAGGTGTATATAAAAATCAGATTTTTTTTAAATGATGTATACAAAGAAAATTTTTTAAACACATTACACAAGCTGCTTCAATAAAATTTAGTTTCAGATTTAGAAAATTTGTCACAATAACTTAGAACTCACTTTTCAGCAGGAGATTTTTTCACCAATTCCCATGGCTTGTTAGATTGGATGTAAAAATTTCCAAGTCGACTGATATTGAGTAGGTATTTGATAGCATCTCGCATTCTAAAATTAAAAGCAGATAATAAAACACACTTGCACAAACACACAAAAACTTAACAATTAACAATTCTCAGTAATGGGTTTAACAAGGTCAATGGGAGATTTTTAAAACTAACAACTGACACTTAAACAAATATTTCTATATAACATACTTAGGTTAAAAATTAAATCAACCCAGGGGAAATTGAATTAATAAGCTAAGCATAAAAATTAAAAAGGTTGAATTAGACCAAAGAAGCCGACCAGGTGGCCGAGTGGTTAGCATGCCTGACTGCGGAGCCGATGGTTGTGGGTTCGAATCCTGCTCAGGGCATAGATGTTTCTATCTCTCTGTGTGCTATGTCCTTTCTCCTGTGTGTGATTGTGTGAATGTGACCCGCCCTATAAACAGGTTTGTGGTTGTGAGGCGTGGGCGACGCTGTTCCACCCAAGTGCCCGCCATTAAAAAAAAAAGACCAAAGAAACCTTTTAAAAATTATTATGCTGAAATGAATTTGAAAAATTAAGTGGAAATGATTTTGAAACAAGAAATGAAAATTTCTGCAGAATGAATTTGAAAATGTCAGATAAAGAACGGAAAAAATGAATATGATTTTATTGGTAGACATAGTTCATTTGAAAAACCACAATCACATTTTCGTTTAATTAGCTCATCTTATTATTTTGTATAAAACATTTTTCATAATTTTCATCTTGTACTTAAACTTTACGTTAATATGTTTTTCCACTCAAGATATTATTTATTTTAGCATTTAAGACATTGAATTAACATATTAAAATTTTTGACTGTGCATTCTTATTACTCTTTTGCTACTCAACAAAATTATCTACATATGTATTATTTTGGGGATGCGTTTCAAAATCTAAAACAATATTGAATTAGTTGTATCGAAACAAAAATTAAAAGCAAAATAAGAATTCAAAATTTGAAAAACATTAATAACATTTTTAAAAAAATCAGCATTGAGAAGTATTAAGAATAGAAATTATTTATCTTTATTCATAAATGTCAAACTGAACTGTAACATTTAAACTTACCTTGTTTTTTCCATACAGTTAATGTATTGCTTCAATTCACGATCAACTTGAGCAATCAACTGTTTCTCGCCATCACCGACCTGCATATCAGGAATGATGCCACCAAAATTATTACTCACAAATGTCAAAGCACTGAAATAAAGACAAAAAGTTTTAATTTTTACAAATTAGTAATAGAATTGTGACTTATCATTCTGCCTCCTTTGTTTTCCTATAAGTATTGCCCTGTTTGTTCCTGTAACAAATGCTATTCTTATAATGTTAATAATACTTATTTAGATTGTTTTGTGAAACTAGACGAATCATGCACTTATAGTTTAGAAATTTTTCCAATATTTGACAAAAAATTATTTTGTTTTGTGAAAAATAGCAACTCCTGAGGCTGATCATAAAGATGAAAAAAAGCATTTAAATCCTTATACTGTAACAATTGTTAGTTTTGGAAAAATGTGTCCAACATCACTTTGGAGTTTATGCTTTAGTTGATACAAGACAAAAAATTGTACTTGAAAAAATGTTACTATTTTACTTTCATAAAAATAAGATCAATTTAATTTTTAAAACATTTTATGAGTTAAAGAATATTCCTTTTTTTGGGGGGGGAGGAAAATTTGCAATATTTTTTAGTGATCCGAAGTATAAATGAATGTAGACATTTAAAAATTCAAATATATTATATGCAACAATATTAAATCAAAATAAGGTTTCAATGGTTTGGAAGAAACAATGCCTTCATAGATGAAATCTAGATGACTCAGTATTTTTGTTCTAAATAGAAGAAAATACCCATGCTTGAATTCAAAACAATTCTAGTTTCTGGCTTAAAGCATGATAACCTAGGTAAATATACTTTAATTTAAAAATTTACTTCTTAAATGAGGAAAATTACTCTCTAGCCATAATATTTGATTACCAATGGCGAACTGGCAAGTTGAAATTTTGTACCCTAAAATATTACGTTGTTAATCAATTAGTCAAAAATGTATTTTCAATCAGAACAAAAACATATTTTCACTGAATAAGAATATTTTTCTTTTACATATTAGCATTTTTGAGCATCAAAAAATGAAAGGGGCTAATCTGGAAAATATGGTCCCTATTGTTTAGTCAAAAGAGAGGTCTAAAACAAGTTTCGGTTATTTCTACTCATTGCAAATTTCATCATACCTCTGGAAGTTTTTAAGCTATTCTAAAAACTTTGTAAGCAACTATAAAATTCTTTTTAGCCAAATTAATGTTAAATCTACACAAAAAAATTAAAAATTACTTTTTATTGTTTATTATTTGATTTAATAATGGTCTAAAATATTTTATATGTAAGATAGGCAAATTGTTTTTATTTTTAATTGAATAATTTGAAATGATAATATAAAAACTTAGAATGAAATTAGTTGACTAATTCTTGAGAACAATGAAATAATAAGGGTTTATTTTTTATTTGGAAATGATGCTGAAATTAATTACCTCACAAATGAATTTTTTTCATTCTAATTAAATAAAATTTTTAAAAAAATCACTTTTTCAAATGTTTAGATAAGCAAATTTTATAGTTGTGTGCAATTTTTGTAATTGTGTATAGTAATCAATTTTATGTTTAGTAATTTGATTACTATACACAATTTTATAACTGTGTATAGTAATCAAAAATTCTCATTTCAAAATTCTTACTCTCCTCCCTTATTATAGACACCAAGATTTTGAATCCATCAGAAGATATGACTATTTCAGAACTTAAAAAATATCATTAAATCATAAGTAAATCAGGTCTCTATTTTTTGTACATGTATAGTACATTCCAAGATTGTAGAGTACTGTGGCGTGCATATATGGGGCACTCATAAAGCACTCAGAAGCGCTGCAACATGGCAACATTTTCGCAGAGCGTTACAGAGTTCTTGCAAAAAGATTTTTCTTTTGAAAAGTTAAAAAAAAGTAACTTTTCTTTTCTACTAATATTTACACGTAATACAGTACAGAACCCGTTATCCG